TGGGGTGAGAAGCAAAATGTTTTCAAGGGAAAAAAAAAACCAAACAAACCAAGAAGCAAAAAAGCAGTTGCCTTTTTGAAAAAGCATCTTTTAGTTAGGCAACCATGATGAACTGGAGGATTGAGCATCTCCACAGACTCTTGCCTCCAGAAGTTGTGAGTGCTGCATCGCCGGAGGTTTTCATACGTAGATTGGACAACCATTTGTCAGGGAAGGTATAGGGTCTCCTGCTTGGGGGGGGGGGAAGAGGGGGTTGGTCCAACTTGGTTCTCCTGGAACTTCTGTAAGCTGAGTGAGGTGTTGTTGTTGTTAGTTGCGAAGTCGTGTCCGACCCATCGCGACCCCACGGACAACGTTCCTCCAGGCCTTCCTGTCCTCTTCCATCTTCTGGAGTCCATTGAAACTCAGGCCTACTGTTTCAGTGACTCCATCCAGCCACCTCGTTCTCTGTCGTCCCGTTCTTCTCTTGCCCTCCATCTTTCCCAGCATCAGACTCTTCTCCAGGGAGCCCTTCCTTCTCATTAGGTGTCCAAAGTACTTGAGTTTCAACTTCAGGATCTGGCCTTCTAAAGAGCAATCGGGGTTAATCTCTAGGACTGACCAGTTTGATCGCCTTGTAGCCCAAGGGACTCGCAGGAGTCTTTTCCAGCACCATAGTTCAAAGGCCTCCATTCTTTGGTGCTCAGCCTTTCCTATGGTCCAACTTTCACAGCCACACATGGCCACTGGGAAAACCATGGCGTACATCTAGGCAATTTCTGCAGAGGGGAAGTAAACTTTGGTGGAACCCAGCAGCTCAGGAACCAAGCTGAGGTGGCGCAGCAGTTAGAGTGCAGTACTGCAGGCCACTTTAGCTGACTGTGTTCAGCAGGTCAGCGGTTCAAATCTCACCGGCTCAAGGTTGACTCAGCCTTCCATCCTTCCGAGGTAGGTAAAATGAGGACCCAGATTGTTGGGGGTAATGTAAATATATATATATATACATTGCTTACTGGTGTACACCGCTTAGAGAGTGCTTGCACTTAAAGCGGTATATAAGTCTCATAAATAAATGAATAAACCTGGTGGCTCCCCCAGCAGCGGGAGAGCATCGCCTGGCACCCATCCCATCAGAGTAAGCCCACAAAAAGGATCTGGGCCTGCCCCAGCTGGATCCGGCAAGTGGGGAGGAACACGGACCAGGAGAAAAAAAAATCCCGAAAAAAACAGAGTGGGGTTTTATCCCGCGGGAAAGGAAGGAAGGAGGCAGAGAGGGACAACGAAAGGAGGTTACTGTCATTTGCCAAACCCCAGAAATAAACTAAGCTGAACATTTGCTGTCGTGGTTCTCCAGTCCCTATTCAATATTTCCACCCTGGGCAAGGCTTTGTTTGCAGTAGGAGATTTACTGTGTTAGCTTGGGCAGGGCTCAGCCCGGCTTATCTTACAGCGCAAACAGCCTCCAGCGGCATGGGACCAGCAAAGGAACAGCGGTTTTTATCCCTTTCACTCAACCAATTACCTGACCGAGCGGGTTACAGAGCTTTGCTGAAAAGCAAACGAGGCACTTGGTCTCCAGCAATCTCTCCAACCAGTTCCGTTATTCCCAGCAAATTATATCCCAGCCTTGGTGAAGTTAGCACTTCTCCGGGACGCGCCCCCCCCCCTGGAAGGGTTTGCAGGCTTGGGGGGGGGGGCAGGGGGAGAAGAGGGGGAAGGCTGTCTTGAACCCACAGCCCTTCGCCTCGGTCCGAGATGGCAGGGTTTGAGCGAGGGAAACGTTCCTGAAAGTTCCTGGCCGCAAATTAGATTAAGCGGGGCATCGGGGGGGAAAAACGGGCCAAAGCTGGCCTTTAAAGGCATCGCATTAAAACACTTATTAGTCGTGACATCTCCAAAGAGGGTTGTGTGGGGGTTTCTTTTTTTTTTATTCTTTCTTTTCTTTTTTTTTTCCTCCGCTGTGGAAATTCGTCCCGGCCTCCAAGAAAAAAAGCGCAATTAAAGCTTCTTCGCAATTCCCACTTGGAATTTGAAGGGAGAGAGAGAGAGAGAGAGAGAGAGAGAGAGCGGTGTTTGCTGATTTATTTACTTTTCTCTTGGACGGGCTGGGGGTGGAAACGAGAGGGGTGGGAGGCAAAATGCATCTTTCATCCCGGATGGAAAGAAGACCAAGGAAAGGGCTGGGGTTGTCCAATAACAATACGACCTGGCAAGGAGAAAAGGCCTCGGTGTCCGCAGGAAGCTTTTTCCAGCCTCTTCGGGAAGAAGTGCTCAAGCTAGGAAATTTTGCTCCGGGAGAAAGGAAAGGGCTTTGCGGGCATGTCGTTACTTCCCCAGAGGCGACGGGAAGCCAAGCCGAGCAGCTTCTGAGGCGGAGGAGCTACAGAAAAAGCTCAAAGGTTGCTTGGAGGGGGCCCTTGCCCTGGTCTGGCCACTTTTATTTGCTTGTTTGTTTTGAGAAATCACTCACGGCGGAAAACACGCACAAGAGTCTTTCTTTCGCCAAATTTCCCCACGACGACAACCCTACGAGGTGGGTAGGGCTAAGAAAGAGAGAGAGGGGGGAGGGGCTGGCCCACAGTCATCCGGGTGGCGCTCATGCCTAAGGCAGGACTAGAACTCACCATCTCCTGGTGATCGGCCCGAAGTCACCCAGCCCTGGCTTTCCTGCCTAAAGTAGGACTAGAACTCACCGTCTCCTGGCGATTGGCCCAGAGTCACCCAGTTTCCATGCCTAAGGGAGGACCAGCACTCGCTGTCACCTGGTGGTTGGGCCCAAAGTCACCCATGAAAACCAAGCCTAAGGCGGGACTAGAACTCACCGTCTCCTGGTGATTGGCCCAAAGTCACCCAGCTGGTTTTCATGTTTAAGGCGGGACTAGAACTCACCGTCTCCTGGTGATCGGCCCAAAGTCACCCAGCCCTGGCTTTCCTGCCTAAGGCGGGACTAGAACTCACCGTCTCCTGGTGATTGGCCCAAAGTCACCCAACCATTTTTCATGCCAAAGGCGGGACTAGAGCTCCCCATTGCATGCTTTCTAGCCTGGTGCCTTACCGACTAGTCCAGTGGTTCTCAACCTTTTTAATGCCGTGACCCCCCAACCGGTCGTAAGTCGAGGACTACTCAACCGGTCGTAAGTCGAGGACTACTCAACTGGTGCAGCACCGTTTGCAGAATGGGACTTTTGGCGGCCTCAGCAGGGCAGAGACAGCCTGGACAATTCCTATTGGCTTTTGAAAGCCAATAGAATTCGACTCTATTTAAGAGAGTCTATACTATTGGCTTTCGAAAGCCAATAGAATAAAAGGGAGTAGCACAGCTAAGGAAAAGGGGGAAAAAATGGTGGTCTACATTGTTTAGCGACCCCCGTGAAATGATCATTCGACCCCAAATGGGGTCCCGACCCACAGATTGAGAACCACTGGACTAGTCTAATATAGGGTCTCCTGCTTGAGCAGGGGGCTGGAATGGAAGACCTCCAAGGTCCCTTCCCACTCTGCTATTCTGTTATTAAGTAATATCAGCTGCCCGTTTGTTTTCTTTTTTTTTTTTTTTAAGCTCAGATCCAAAGCTTGACTTAACGGCCATCGGATTGTGATTATGTTTCCCAGATCTGGGGACAAAAATGGATTTCCGATCACGACTCTCAGACCAAAGACACCTCCAAAGTTGACTCTTCCAAGAGCAGGCAAGCACAGACACACAAAAAAAGCCTTTCGAAGCACACCATCCTCCTACCTGGAAATGCACAATTGTTTCCCGGTTTGACAAAAGCTGAGGTCACCTTGCCCAGAAACACACACCTTGGAATATTGCAACACGGCGACCTCCCACACGTCTTCCAGCTTCCGAGGTTGAGACACGCAGGCTGAAGGGATGAAAATTCTCTGAAACAGCCTGAGTGAGCTCTGCAAAGTTTCTAAGTACGACAGTAGTAGTAGTAGTAGTAGTAGTAATTATTATTATTTAGGATTCAAACAGACAAGCACCTGCCACATAACACCCCAGATTTAACAATTGTCGATAAGAAAGACAAAAAAGTCTGGATAGTGGATGTGGCAGTGCCTGGAGATAGCAGAATAGAAGAGAAAGAACTGGAGAAGATAACAAAATACAAAGACCTGCAAATAGAAATAGAAAGACTGTGGCAAAGGCAAGCAAAGGTAGTACCAATAGTCATAGGCTCCTTGGGTGCAATCCCAAAACAACTGGAGCACTACTTGAACACCATTGGCATTGACACATTCGCCATTAGTCAATTGCAAAAGGCGGCCTTACTAGGAACTGCTTCCATCCTGCGACGATACCTGTAATACCATCAAACATCCACATCTGCCTATCCCAGGTCCTGGGTAAGGACTCGATAGGTAGACAAAATGCCAAATCCAGTCTGAACATCTGGCTGACTGTGCGATGATCCATAATAATAATAATAATAATAATAGTCCAACCCCTGCTCAGGAAAGAAACCCTATACCATTTTAGACAAATGGCTGTCCAGTCTCTTCTTTCTCTTAGTTGAGAAAGCAAGGACACGATTATGGATGAAACGTGTAACAGTGGTACTCATTGTCATCGGGGCACTGGGAACTATGTCCAAAAATTTCACAAAATACATCAAGAAACTGCAGCTTCCTACAATAACACTAGCAATGTTATAAAAAACTGTGCTACTCGGAACATCTTATATTTTAAGGAGGTACCTGGTTGACACTTAGGATGCTGGTAGCAACCCGTGTCAACCATCAGCGCCAGCCAATTTGAATGTTCAGTTGACTGAGGTTCATTTCTAATGAATAAAAGATAATAATAATAAAGTTGGGAGGGACCTTGGAGGTCATCTAGTCCAACCCCCTGCTCAGGAAGGAAACCCTATACCATTTCAGACAGTCTCTTCTTTCTCTTAGTTGAGAAAGCAAGGGCACCCCTGCCTCTCGGATAGACAGAGCCCTAAGAGTAGCTAAGGGGGAAGAGTAAAAACAGGTGCCAGGTGTGAAATCCACGGTGGGAGCATCCTCACCTTTTTCACCAGCCCCCAGGGACAGCTGCTGGAGGTCTCTCGTGTTCTCTTGTTCGCTTGCGTCGCCAAATGGAGCCGCCGTCGTGACATGCAGGCCGCCGGCATCCCCTTTGCCTGGGCTGGGAAGGAGGGCAGCGCCCGGTGAACGCGAGGGGTCCTCTGAGCCTGGAGGAGCTTCCGTTTCTTGGTCAGAAACATCTGGCTTGTTTACCTGGACGGCGAGAAAGGAGAAAGGGTCCGTTTGGGGCTGTGAGGACAGAAATGGTCAACGGGCCCTGCCAGAAGTCCTGATGGCCTCAGCTCCACCACATCCAGCGATAGGAACAGGAGGGGTTTTGAGACATTCGTTCTTTCATTCGTTCCATTCAGCTGCTGTTTTCTCGTTCAGGAAGAAAATAAAAAATAAAATAAAATAAAAAATAAAATAAAATGTAAAATAAAGTAAAATAAAATAAAGTAAAATATAAAATAAAGTAAAATATAAAATAAAGTAAATAAAATAATAAAATATAAAGTAAAGTAAAATAAAATAAAACAAAATAAAATAAAATAAAGTAAAGTAAATAAAATAATAAAATAAAATATAAAGTAAAGTAAAATAAAATAAAACAAAATAAAGTAAAATAAAATAAAATGTAAAATAAAGTAAAATAAAATAAAGTAAAATAAATAAATAAATAAATATAAAATAAAGTAAAATATAAAATAAAGTAAATAAAATAATAAAATATAAAGTAAAGTAAAATAAAATAAAACAAAATAAAATAAAATAAAATGTAAAATAAAGTAAAGTAAATAAAATAATAAAATAAAATATAAAGTAAAGTAAAATAAAATAAAATAAAATAAAGTAAAATAAAATAAAATGTAAAATAAAGTAAAATAAAATAAAGTAAAATAAATAAAGTAAAATAAATAAATAAATAAATATAAAATAAAGTAAAATAAATAAAATAAAATAATAAAGTAAAATAAAGTAAAATAAAAGAAAATAAATAATATAAAATAAAAAATAAAAAATGTAAAATAAAATATAAGATTATAAAATGAAAACATGAAAATAAAACATAAAATTAAAATATAAAATATAAACTCCTAACATAAAATCATGTATGTGCATGTATAAAAACACTGTTTTCCTGTTCAGGGATGGGACCGGATGAGATGGGGAGGGGAAGGGAAGGGGAAAGACATATACAGGTGGTCCTCAAATTACAACAGTTCATTTAACGACCGCTCGAAGTTGCGACGGCGCTGAAAAAAGACCGTTTGTCATCCTCGCGACCGCTGCAGCCTCCCCGTGGTCACGAAAGGCAGACGCTTGGCAAACCGGTTCCTGTTTATGACGGAACACTGGACCCAATACACAAGCCACAAAACTAGGCTTGGAAATCAGCCAGACCTGCTGTTTAGGATTCAGAGGGTATTCAAAGATACCAATTCTCTGAAGACCGATAGACTGGGGTGGGGTGGGGGGAAATTGCAGGAGGCAGCTTTGGGGGAGAAGGCACGGAAACGCTGCCCAGGTATTTCCTCTCTACGAAGAGCGAACAAAATCTTTCGAAAGCCACTGGGTAAAACAACAATAAGTTGCAATGCAGTAGCTGCATGCAACTTTCCACAAGTCGGTCGGTGCTGGAAGAGTTATGCAACAGCCTTAAACCGTTTTTATCCCCCCCCCCGTCCCGCCGCCTCCTCTGGTCAGGATTACAAGCGAGCGATTCTTGGAACGACAATGTGTAGTTTGAAATCACTTTCAAAGTCAGGCAGCGCTGCCAGGGTTTGGCTGAAATTCTCCATCTCCTGTGCGACAAGCTGCCGAAATGGGGGGTGGGGGTGGTTCCCTCTTTTGACGGCCTCTTTTCCATCCCCTTTTCCATCCCTTCGGCGGGGAGGTCATTCTGTGCTGTCATCTGCTCGTTGTCAACTTTGGCAACTTTGAAGTTGCGTGGACTTCGGGCACCCAGAACGGTGGCAGTGTGAGCGGACAGCCCTAGCAATCGGGACTGAAGATTTATACCCCGCGTCAGCACGGAATATCTTTTAGAATAGAACGCCTTTATCATCGCTGTGTAACTCGTAACAAAATTAAGTATTTAAATTAAATTAAATTCACAGCCTCTTGCCCCCCCCCCCAACAATCTGGGTCCTCATTTTACCGACCTCGGAAGGATGGAAGGCTGAGTCAACCTTGAGCCGGTCAGGATTGAACTGCTGGCTGTGGGCAGTGAATTAGCCTGCGATGCTGCATTGTTAACCACGGCAGGCAGGCAGGCCAGGAAGGAAGGAAGGAAGGAAGGAAAGAAGAGGAAGGAAGGAAGGAAGGAAGGAAGGAAGGAAGGAAGGAAGGAAGGAAGGGGAAGGAAGGAAGGAAGGAAGGAAGGAAGGAAGGAAGGAAGGAAGGGGAAGGAAGGAAGGAAGGAAGGAAGGAAGGAAGGAAGGAAGGAAGGAAGGGGAAGGAAGGAAGGAAGGAAAGGGAAGGAAGGAAGGATGAAAAGAAGAAGAGAGGAAAGAAGGAAGGAAAGAAGAGAGGGAGGCCAGGAGGGAGGGAGGAAGGAGGGAAGAAAGGAAGGAAGGAAAGAAGAAAGGGAGGCCAGGAGGGAGGGAGGGAGGGAGGAATAGCAATAAGCCCTTAGACTTATATACCATTTCAGAGGGCTTTACAGCCCTCTAAGTGGGTTACAGAGAGAGCCTATTGCCTCCCACAAACAATCTGGGTCCTCATTTTACCGACCTCGGAAAGATGGAAGGTTGAGTCGACCTTGAGCTGGATCATGATTACATTACAAAAAAGATGCTGAGGCTTTGGGAAAAGTGCAGAGAAGAGCAACAAAGATGATCAGGGGACTGGAGGCTAAAGCATATAAGGAACGGTTGCTGGAATTGGGTATGTCTAGTTGAACAAAGAGAAGGACGAGGGGGGACAGGATAGCCAATGTTCCAATCTCTCAGGGGCTGCCCCAAAGAAGAGGGAGTCAAGCTGTTCTCCAAAGCATCTGAGGGCAGGACAAGAAGCAACGGATGGAAACTCATCAAGGAGAGAAGCAACCTGGAACTAAGGAGAAACTTCCTGACAGTGAGAACAATTAATCAGTGGAATCATTTTATTATTTTATTATTTATTTTATTATTTTATTTCATTTTATTGTTTTATATTTTGTTTTGTTTTATTATTTATTTTATTTTATTATTTTAGTTTATAGCTTTATTTATTTTATTATTTTATATTATTTTATTTTATAGCTTTATTTATTTTATTATTTTATATTATTTTATTATTTTATTGTATAGCTTTATTATTTATTTTATTATTTTACTATTTTATTTTATTATTTTATAGCTTTATTATTTATTTTATTTTATTATTATTTTACTATGACTTTTAAGAACGCCCTTTTTCCCCCCCACACTTACAACTGTTGCGGCCTTTCCCCCCACCCCAGTCCCGGGGCTCCAAATCCAGGAACTGGCTCGTATTGATGACGGTGGCCGCCTTCCGACAAGCAAAGCCGATGGGGAATTCTGATTCGCTTAGCGACGGTGGGACGAACTTAACAGCTGCAGTGATTCGCTTAACGAGGGAGACAAGGAAGGTCGTAGAGAAGGAAGGCGTCTTGCTTCTCAATGGAAATTGGGGGGGGGTGGGCTCAGCCGTAAGTCGAGGACTCCCTGGACGGGCAGTCCTTGGGAGGGAACGTTCTCACCTGTGGGATGGGCGACAGGCAGTCCGTCCGCGCCCTGAGTAAGCAGTGAGTAAATCCGGTGGGAGGCTGGGAGAAGGGTTCGCCTGGGGGTTTTCCCAGACCCTCCACCTTCCCGGGTCTGAGCGGCACTGGGCCGAGAGGTCAATCCAATCTAACAAAACACACACACTGTCACAATGGGGGCCTGTGTAGGTGGGACCTTATCCTGGGCTCTGACGCGGCTGGCAGCACAAAGCCACACGGAAACACACGCAAACCAAATAGCTTTTGTCCCTGGGATGTGAAGGGCAACCTTACTATTCCCAGGAGAGGAAATAATGCAAATCTGGAGGCAGAATCTGGATTTGATCATCATCATCTTCTTCTTCTTCTTCTCCTTCTTCTCCTCCTCCTCCTCCTCTTCTTCTTCCTCTTCTTCTTCCTTCTTCTTCTTCCTCTCCTCTTCCTCTTCTTCTTCTTCTTCTCCTCCTCCTCCTCTTCTTCTTCTTCTTCTTCCTTCTCCTCCTCCTCCTCCTCCTCCTCTTCTTCTTCTTCTTCTTCTTCTTCTTCCTCCTCCTCCTCCTCCTCTTCCTCCTCCTCCTCCTCCTCCTCCTCCTCCCTACCTAGTGAGTCCAAAGCAGTAACATCTGGCCCTTCTCCGCCCATCTTCGCCTGCAAAGCTTCCCTGCATTGGGTGAAGAGGATGGAAGAGAGAGGGCGCAGAGGGACCGGCCTGGTTAGAGGAAATGGCCATCGCTGACGTGTAGCCGTGATTGGCAGGCCCTCGTGGACTTTTTGGCTGGGGAGGGGGGAAAAATGAACCGGGTGATGGGTAGAGTCTGGAGAGAAGGCAATGAGGTTGTAGCCTGCGAGAGAAGGGCTAAAATGTAAATATATCTGCTGTTCCGAAGACCAGACGCCAAAGCCCTCCCCTCTCCTTTCCTTCCTTCTTTCCCTTCCCTCTCCTCTTTTCTACCTTCCTCTCCCCTCCTTTCCTTTCCTCCCTTCCCCTTTCCCATTTCCTTCCCTTCCCTCCCTCCTTCCCTCCCCTCTTTTCTATCTTCCTCTCCTCTCCCCTCTTTCCTTTCCCATTTCCTTCCCCTCCCTCCCTCCTTCCCTCTCCTTTTCTATCTTCCTCTCCTCTCCCCTCTTTCCTTTCCTTCCCTCCTCTCCCCTCTTTCATTCCCCTCTTTTCTATCTTCCTCTCCTCTCCCCTCCCTTCTTTTCTATCTTCCTCTCCCCTCCCCTCTTCTTTCCTTCCCTCCCCTCCCCTTTCCCATTTCCTTCCCTTCCCTCCCTCCCTCCCTCTCCTCTTACTTCCTCTCCTCTCCCCTCTTTCCTTCCCCTCTTTTCTATCTTCCCCTTGTCTCCCCTCCCCTCTTCTTTCCTTCCCTCCCCTCCCCTTTCCCATTTCCTTCCCTTCCCTCCCTCCTTCCCTCTCCTTTTCTATCTTCCTCTCCTCTCCCCTCCCCTTTCCCATTTCCTTCCCCTCCCTCCCTCCTTCCCTCTCCTTTTCTATCTTCCTCTC